ATATATGGCATTTTATGAACACTTCTAGTAGTCCCCTCTCTTCTAGACCCAGGTATCTGTCCCCTGATGAGGACAGAAAATATGCAGACAATATGTTGTTTTTGTTGTTGTTGTTTGACATTGAGTCAGACCCTGGTTAGCAGTCAAGTGCCTTAGGCACTATGCTATAGATGACCTTTCAATAAATGTGTGTTTTTATTTTCCTGGATGCTGATCTGCATCAAGTTCTTGCTTGTTCTTTTATTTTTGAGCTATGCTGGACAACTTAGGTACTTCCAATGCTCTAATTTTCAGCTTTCCCTGTTTACATTTAGAGCAGTAGAAATGAAGGACACAAGCAGCAGGAATTCTAGTCTGTCTTATAGGGAGAAGAGAGAGATTCCTGAAATAAGCATGAGATTATCTATAATTCTCTCACAACTTCGAGCAGAATTTCTTCTCACTCTCCAAGCAAGAGGTCAGAATGGGAAGAGGAGCTGTGTGTTATCTGATCTATTTTATTGTCAAAATGATAATATTAATCAAACTGAAAGACAAATAAAAGAATGGAAGTTTTAGAAGCTAAGTTTCAATTTTTGTCACAGTTGTGTGATGTTGGTAAATGATATAAATCTCTTAAGCTCTTGTGTTTCTTATTTGAAAAGTGAAGAGTTGAAATAGATCACATCTAATTTCTCCTTCACCACCACTCAGTGGTTGGTTTGTCATACTGTGCTGGCTTGTGTTTATCTGTGGTGCTGGGAGCTATACAACCTGTGGTAATTAAGTTTGTCTGTCAACTTGGTTGGCTTGGCTGTGATTTTGAGTGGCTTGGCAGCTGGATATATTTATTCCTCATGATGAAATTGGATGTGGTGTAATCACCTCCATGATGGAATCTGCTAATAAGTTAAAGGGAAGTTGCCTTTGGGGTGTGGCATGTTTCTAGTATACATGGAGAAACTATGAGAAAACTACTAGCTATTTGGTAAGTTTGGATCCTGCATTTGGCCAATCATCATGTCCAGTTCCTGGACTTAAACTAGTGGCCTGTCATGATGTCTACTGATCTGGGAACTGTTGCCTTTGTGGCCTGTGAGCCAACAATCTGCAGCCTACTGTAATATCTTCTAATCTTATGATTAGATTATAATTATATATTAGATTACATAGTTCTGTGAGTCAGGAAAAGCTGCCAGCTTGCTCCAGCAGGCCTGGAAGGTAAAGTTGAAACCCAAGTTTGAGGGACCTCTACCCAGATCCTAGAGCCAACACTGAATTTGGGCTTCTAGCATCCCAATCTTTAGGAAAATACATTTCTGTTTGTGAAAGCCAACAACTTGTGGTATTTCTATTACAACAGTACTAGAGAAATAAGTATTGGAATTTCAAATACTGGCAGGGTTACTCACAGAGGACAGATTTCAAAGGAACTTCTGGACTAAGACAGACTAGAGTCTACTTCTAAAAAGCAGCCAATGAAAACCCAATGCATCATAACAGAGTAGTGTCTGATATAATGCTAGAAGATCAAAAAACAAACAAACAAAAACACTGCTATCAAGCTAATTCTAACTTACAGTGACCCTATAGGACAGCATAGAATTGCCCCCTAGGGTTTCCAAGGCTGTAAATCATTATGGAGGCACACTGCTTCATCTTTCTCCCCTGGAGTGGCTAGTTGGTTCAAATTGCTGACCTTTGTTTAGCAGCCAAATGATTTAACCACCATGTCACCTGAGCTCCTCGATGTAGAAGATGTTGTTGTTATGTGCTGTTGAGTTGGACCCGACTCATAGCAATCCCTTAAGCCCCTAAATTGGACAAACCAAAACCAAACTCACTGCTGTGGAGTCAAATCCGACTCATAGTG